ATGTATTGCCGTTGAAAAATCGCTGTTACCTTCGTCAACTCATCGCATTCAATAAGAGAACGCTTTTCTTAAAATTTTAGCTTAAATCCCTCATTCTAAACATAGTGGACTAAATGTGTTTGGACGTGAATTTGAGGTTCAGTGTTTCAGCTGACCTCATTAAGGTCCACTTCTATAAACAGTTTCACATTTGATAGGAACTTTACTCTCTTACAAAGTTCAACCTCTTTTGTCCTACTGAGAAGATGAAGTTGAAGAAAGTTTAGAACCTAACAGGTTTTCAACAAACTTGATCTCCTTAAAGTGAATCATGTCGAGTTATTTGGGTTGAAATGTTCTCATGAAGGAGGGACTCAAAGAGCTTTACTCCTACTCTTTGTTTTCCTGTAAATACTGCTCAAATAAGTCAAGACAACACCTCAACAATCTTCTTTGGCAAAATTCCTTGGTACAAACATACTCTCGAGATTAGCTATAAGCTACCTCAACGCTATCATTGAGGGGTGTGCGATAGACTTACATCCACGTGGTGAACCCTGCGGAACATATACTCATACGGCAAAAAGTCTATTAACTGGCAGTTGACTTCTGACTTCTAACTACCCTCACCCCACTGTATGTCATATTCGACTACTTCCACAGTTCTCACCTCACCATTTTCCACTTTTGTGTCTGTCTCTTTTACATCTTTGAAACTTTCTTCTGTCCCCACTATCCCTCTTGACTTATTTCACTTTGATGTTCCTCCTCCTCTGTGATGCCTGCAACTTTCACAACGCCTGCCATTTGATATAAATAAATAAATGCGTTATCATTGAAAACAGGACATATGGAGTGAATAGTGCTCATCACGACTAATAGAACTCTGGCACAAAGCTTAGTCATTGAAATGCAACTGAGGCTATTCTACGATGCATTGACTATGGTTCACTGGTTGGTTGAGAGATCTCTGCACTCACGACCCCTCCGTCCAAATTGTTCGAATGCCCATGCGATTTTGTATTTCAGTCACTTGAAGCATACAATTCCCTAATGATCTATCACTATTTCTGAGTTACAGTAGCCGGTTTCTCAAATTCCTAATTCACTGACGATTTAAAGCACGTTCTTGAAAATGTAAACATCATGATACCTATTCATGTGGAAAGTTATTCGTACTTTCTTTAAAGTAATAAAAACCTGATGATAAAATTCCAATACGTCTCTCCTATCCAAGTTTTATCAATACAGTAAGTCATTTATGCGTCAATGAGAGTCGAATTTGTAATTTCTGAATACTCTGTGGAGTCGGGGATAAATTAATCAAACCTTGCTCAATTATTTTTAACCAACATATCTTTGAAGCAACTTGTGAAAACACGCATCAGACATTCGATAGTAACCAAGTTTAAATTAAAGAATGATAAACCTATAATAACTTTGAATTCACAATTTTTACAAAACGTAAGTGCAATTAGAATTTTTTCGTCCCATCTTGTTTTTCTGTTTATAAAGTGTTTTTTTTTTAAATATGGAGTTTTAAAATTCCACACGAGGATATTAATTGGCTAAACAGCACTTTTCAGTAAACTCTACAAAGTGCATGTTCGAAATGACATAATCGATATTTTAATTTAATAAACTCTTAAATCGCTTTGAAAATCATAGAAATGAACTCAATTAAGAGCCTGAAATCTAACTTTCGGAATTCGGAAGGCTCTCCTATGAACTCCTAAGTGCACAAAATGATGAAAATAATTCCGCAAATTTCCACTCCACTCCACTCCCCCCCCCCCTCCCCAATTCTCATTGATCCATTTTTCTGTTCATGAGTCCAAATGTTTATCAAAAAATGTACTTCAAGCTATTCAGAGTAATGGCTTTATTGCTGATGCGAAATTTGGTAAGTAAATTGTAGAATAAATAGTTAGAAGGGTAAATTATAAGATAAAAATGGTGCTCAACATCGCTTCTCGTAAACTGTGGAGTGCACAGTGCAACCAAGGCTGAAACAAAGAAATCGCATGAGCACTCGAACTGTTTGGAAGTTGCAATCGTGGGTGCTGATCCCTCTCAGCAAATAACTAGCACCTGCGAAGTAGCCTAGTCCTAGTTGTAGTCAATACCCAAGCTTTGAGACAGTTCGCCATAATTTGTACTCCATACGTTGGTGTGACAGCTAATTTCTCACGCAAATTTGTGCTAGGGGATACCAATGTTCAGTCTTGAGTCACTTATGTGCCATCTGCAGTTAAAAATTACTCGTAAAATTTTCTTTAGGCTCATAGAAATAACGACCAGCCCCGTTAAGATTACCTCGTATAACACTTCATCCACGCATGTAGTGCCTCAGGGTCGCTCTGATAAGAGCCTCGAGCTTTCAAACCTCCTTTTGCCCAAAATTAACTTGTGTAATTAGGCACCCACGACATCGGATTTTTAATACCAACCCCAATAAAACAGATAGCACATTGAAACAAATATTGTATTAGTATTAATAAATATAAAAAGCTGCTAAAGACATATACGGAATTGCCAAATGTACACTTCAAAAAAAACAGGAAGGCATTTACATCAAGTGAAGAGGAAGTTCATTAAGGAATACATAAAAACACACGAACAAATTGACACCTAGGGACGGAATAAAAGGAGAAATCCATTTATAATAGTTTACAATAAAATATACAAAAGCCAAAAGATTGGTGCTCCTGGCTCCAACCTAATATACCCCGCGAATAAGACGACAGGGAACGGCAGCAGTATACTTTTTCCATGCCGAATCGTACTTCTCCGAACACACTTGCTCATCCCAACGAATGCGCAAGATGACGTCCAAAAATACAAATACTGGAACAATCCAAGGAGCAAAACTACTGAAACCTGTTGGTAAAGCAAGACCCACAGTGAGCAGAACTTCACCAAGGTAATCCGGATGACGAACAAAGCCCCACCAACCACCAGAAAGAATTCGTTTTCCAGACTCTGCTCTAAATGTGCTTACACCCTCAAGACTTGGATGCTGTGAATCACAACGGAATACAAACCTTTGGTTAATAGCCCTACGACGGATAAAAAGACCAAGAATAAAGAAAAGTGAACCTAGAGCAGGAAGAGTATAGTCGGGCAAAGGATCCAGTGAGGGATAAGCGACATGGTAGTTCTGAGCCAGATAAAAAACGCCAAGGCTTCCCAAAAGAGGACGGATAATGAACTTGCTCTGGAACCATCTTAAACCACAACCATAACGGAGAACATCATGCCGATGTAAAGACGTGGGCTCATAAATGAAGAAATCAATAAGAGCAATGCAGTGGAGGAGAATAAGAATCATTAATCCAAGACTAAGTGAAGCATGTTCGCCATATTGACGAAGAGCGAATGAAACTTGAAGAACAAAACCTCCGATGAAACAAATGTACTGTGAAAGAACTTTAATGTCGACTCCAAAAGGTGTTGGTCGAGTTTCACGTCCAGTGTAGAAGTCGACAAAAAAGCACCCTACAAAGAACACAAAACACTAGTAAAGTAATTAATAAGAATGAATAAACAACTCAAATGAGAAAAACTTACTAGAATGCACAGTAAGAGAATTAGACCGATAAAAGTATTCATTCAGGAATACGTGAACTGTGTACGCAAAAGCTTCACAAACAGCAGCCAAAAATATTGTTGGAAGGTAATTCGGTAGAACTTCTAAACGAGCCCCATCGACTAAGTCGGCAATTTTACAATGGTAAAGGGCCAAGGAGACAACATAAACTAAAACAACCACGATACCATTAGATTTATGATGTAAACGTTGGCCGTCGGCAATTATAGTAGTAGTTTTCCCCAGTGGAATAATGGCATGCAATAGAATAGTTAGACGTGTAAAAGCTGCCACACCGAGAAGCACAGGAAAATTAACATATTTTGGATCGCAGGGTAAAGCTGCACTCACAAATGCTAACGATTTTCCGAATTGAGAAGTAGTTTTGGTAAAGCTTTTCTCACTTATCGGAGACAGAGCGAGAAAAATACACCAATAGACAAAGAGAGGAATGAGAAATGCGGCAACAAAGCAGATAGTTCCACTAGAAAACACAGAACGAACGATTCTTCCTGGAAGTCTAACGACGCTGCTTAGGTAAGAGCTCGACCTAGATGGCGGTGCAACTTCATGAATTGAAGAACGTTCATGTCTAAATGAATAGCCATTAATAAATTCAGCGAACGCAAACAAATTAGCGAAACAAAAAATAAGCTTACTTTGGGGAGTAAGTTTCAATTTTTTCAATCACCCGAACTGACGACCTTGTGCTACGCCGACGAGCAGGACTACTTGATTTCTGGCTGCTATCATCTTTCGTTTTTTTGACAGGAGTCTTCTTACTTGGCGTAGTAGGCTTAATTGGAGATTTAGATCTTGAAACTGCAGACGCCGATTTTCGTCCAGATGATTTTGTGGCTCCTCTGGTCTTGGATGAAGCTCTTGCGCGAGATGTAGAACGGGCACGCGAAGTACTGCGAGAACGCTGAAATAAACATTAAAAGTAAGGTAGTTGAAATAAATCGTGCAACTAGATTATGTTATACTTACGGATGACTTGGACTTCTTTGGATTTGCCATCTACGCAACCTTCAAGTCCCAAATTCAATATGGCAACTATTATAACAGACGCGGACTTAGAGAGAAATTAGTATCTCAATGAATATAAACAAATTTAAAACAGCATGAAAAAGATAACAACTTAAATCAAAAAGCAAATTCTACAATGCCATTCTAAAACATTTATTTTGATGTTATATTGAGCCCACATTTTTGAAATATAAGTTTTGTAATAGGTCTGAGTTTGTTGGGCTAGATAATGCTTTGAATTAAAAGTAAGATTTCAGTTGGAATTATTATTTTAGACCATTTCTAATATTCGTTTTAACTATGATTGACAACTTTTATATATTTCGGCGAATAAATTTAAAGCAATAATACGTGAATAAGATATCATGCAGGAGATTTATATCATAGCTCTACAATCTTATCAATCGCCCTTCAATTATAGAGATCCATGTCCTAGTATTAATTGACTTAAATTATTCCTTTATAAATTGAATCTTGATTATTAATCAAATTAATTCAGCTTAGGTCATACTCCAATTATTAAAATCTTGTTCGAGTGATAGAAAATAAGGCAATTTTATAACATCTTTTGCATTTGTTTCTCTTATATAGCATTGTCACTACATTAATTCAGGTCTAATATAATTGCCATAGAAAGATCACAATATCAATTTTTGGCACATCAATTCTTTTAAAAGCTGGAAATCATATTTTTAAGCTTGAAAATTAGTACGTTTTCAACGAAAAATATTATGGGTCTACAGATTGGAATCAGAATGCTTAATAGAGGTTGAATTAGCCTTTATTACTTTAATGCGCGTCAATTTTCATTAGAAGAATATAGAATAAATAATTTGTTTTTATGGCTGTGAAAATTGCAATAGTTTATTTTGAAAATTATGTTTCATGTTTATTTATTGGTGTCTCATCCATTAAGTCGTTCTGCTCTTTTATTAATTGAAAATCATCTATTTTATGTAGAGAATGAACAAGACAAACTTCTAATGTTCAAACGTCCATAATTGTATTTCTAACTTGTGAAAAAATATTTAGTACCAGTGAAGGAAATAGTATTGAATTTTTATCCATTTCCTATTCTGCAGAACCTTATAGTTAATCAAGCAATTGTAAAAAATATTCACTTCAATATTTCTGCGGGAACAAAATAAAGTTGCTGCGTTTGGCACATCTTAAATAATCAAATCAATAAATTAGTCAAATATAGATTTATAATATGTTAATCTTCTTTAACACTACAACCTAACTGTTACAGTAAATGCCAGCGAGATCTTTGAACCTGACTTATTTATTTTATTTAATGAACCAAATAAAAGTAATTTTATCATTATTGCGGTATCAAAATGCGCTAACTTTGGTAGCATCTAATGCGTTCTTTTTCACGTATTCTGTAAAATGTCATTTTATTAATAGCAGAATCCGAAAATCTGTTTTACTTTCAATTATTAGCTGATTGTAAAACAAGCCGGTTGTGTGTTTTTAGTTTAGTGTACTGCATCGTTTCGTTGAAAAATGACTAAGTAGAAAATTTATTTGAATTTTAACGAATCAGTGAAAATTATAGTTCAAAATGCTGTACAAATTAAGCAACAAAGGACTAACTTCTGATTTATTTTATTGAAGAAAAATTTGTTTAGACGAGTCAGTAATATTGAGGTGATAAACATTCCCGCATTGAACGTTATGAATAAATTATGCTATTATCACGAAAGAGACCAGCCAGAACTCAGATTAATAAATATTCCTCTGAAGATTTACGGAAAATTCAAAGCCATCCAACACTAGAAGAGTTTATAGAAACGGGAGATTATATTGGCGCAATCACTTTGCTTGAATTTGAGTGCCACTCCAAAAAAACCGAAAAGGATATTGATCTATGGATAGGATACTGTTATTTTCATCTCGGGGACTACGATCGTGCAGCAGAGGTATACAAGAAGACTATCTCAGATCCTCAATTAGCATCGCAGACTAGATTATATTTAGCTTGCTGCTACTTTTTCATGGGTATGTATAAGGAAGCTCAAGAAGAAGGAAACCAAACGCCACAATCCGAATTGAAGACAAGATTGCTATTTCATACTGCCTATAAGTTGAATGATGAAAGAAATATTTTAATTTATCACAACCGTTTAAGTGATGCATTGGAAAATCAACTCTCTCTTGCTTCAATTCACTTTCTTCGGGGTCATCATCAAGAGGCAATTGAGATTTATAAGAGAATCATGATTGAAAATCGCAATTTTATTGCTCTAAACGTTTATATCGGTCTTTGTTATTATAAGCTTGACTACTATGATGTTGCTTTAGAGGTATTGGATCTCTACCTACAGCATTATCCCAATAGTCCAATGGCTGTCAATTTAAGAGCATGTATCAACTACAGACTTCAAAATAGTAAGACTGCGATAGAAGAACTTAAAGCTCTTAGGGAATTATTTTCATCAAATCTTTCCTACGCAAGGGATCTTATTAATCATAATTTATCAGTTTTTACACACGGAGAAGCCTCTTTAAAAGTGCTACCACCTTTGATAGATGTTCTGCCTGAGGCCAGACTAAATCTTGTAATATACCATCTTCGAAGGGAGGATATTGGATCTGCATACGAATTATTAAAAGACATTGAGCCAATTACTCCACACGAATGCATTCTCAAGGCCATTATCAATACCTTGATTGGTCAAGAAACTGGCTCGATCGATCATCTTAAGTTAGCTCAACAACACTTCCAATCGGTTGGGAATTCTGCAAGTGAATGTGACACTATCTGTGGTCGTCAATGTATGGCATCATATTTTTTTCTTCTCCGCCAATTCGAAAATGCCATAGTTTACTTAAATTCTATTCAAGCTTATTTCAGCAATGATGATATCTTCAACTTAAATTTTGCTCAAGCAAAAGCGGAAATGGGAGACTACAAAGAAGCTCAAAAACTTCTGCTCATGATCCAGTCGGAGAAGATTAGAAGTGAATATGTCTATATCAGTTGGTTAGCAAGGTGTTTTATTATGAATAAGGAGTCGCGTTCAGCTTGGGAACTATATCTTAAAATGGAGACTTCAGTTGATTCTCTCAACCTCCTCAATCTTATTGCAAATGACTGTTATCGAACAAGCCAATTCTATATAGCAGCCAAAGCGTTTGACGTATTGGAAAGATTAGATTCAAGCCCAGAATATTGGAAGAGTAAACGTGGGGCATGCATCGGGGCTTTTCGATCAGTCGTTGCTAACAATGTATCAAAAGAAATACTTGGGGAAATCATTCAAATCCTACGAAACACAAATAACAAAGAATCTGACCAATTTATTCGAATTATAAAGAAATGGGCAAACGAGAACTCAGTAAATATATAGCGTTTTGATTAAATTTTTATAAACTCAAATACTGCTTTTTACTGTAACATAGTACTATTTACACACACACACACGAAAGAGTGGAGAGAAACGACTACTCCTTGCGTTTTTCACCAAGATTTTTCGCCATCTCAACACCTAATTCATCTAATCGGCTTATGTCCTTGAGAGAAAATTCACCCGAGCCCCTTGGGAGAGGTTTAGCCTATTGAATTCGAAGAATAGTGATTGTAAAAGAGGATTTTAAGTAAGATAGCAAGGACTTTTGATGCTGGAACTCACTTGAGATGGGTCAGGTTTCCAGGCGATAAAGAAGAGCAATCTGAAAGTAGCTGGAATGCAGCGTTCACCCTCCAGGCCCCCCTCTCGAAGTGTACTGAATTTTTCTGCAATAAGGAACGGTGCTAAAGATCGGTTCAGTAGTTGGCTTCCTTAGAGCTTTAGACTAAATCAAAATAACTTCATGAAAGAGATACGATTTTAAATTCGGTGATTGAGTAACTTACATTGAATATTGCAGTGAGCAAAACTACCTGCCATTAAAGTTCTACTTGTACTAATGTATAAGCCTGGCCAACTTAAGCTGACATGTCCTCCTTTGGAATGAATTGAGAGAAACACCTCTCCTCCCAAACTGAGGAGTAAGGTTAGAATAAGAATAGGAGTCAAAATCCTGCTCGATAGAACTTTAAACACAAATTTAAGGCATATACATTGCTTTACATTAGTACTTACTTTTGGAGCACTCATTTAAATAGATAACAAGTAATATCATCCAGAATGTGCGAATGGTGACGGTACTACGCTAAGTAATATTGCCATTAAAAAGACCAATGCTTAGAAAACACTACAATATATAGTCAGCTAAATAGGTTCACGATTTCAACACCTATCTTGCCAATGATATGACGGTTTGTAGAGGCAAATTAATTTTATTCTATCAATGCTATGTGGTTCAGACCCAGAATAATGAAAGCGTGCAATTCTCAAAGTGACTCCCCTTCGCTCCTTTATTGGGAAAATATATGCAAGAAGAGGATATATTAGCTAACGGGTGGGTCATTAAAATGGAAATCACGTTACTTATTTGAAAGGTTGGCACCCGTGACACGAATTCTGTCCACGGAAGCTCTTACAAGTAATAAAGTTTGAGCCTAATGAAATAGGCATGCACTTTGAAGGCGTTGAAATTAAACGCACGTAAAGTCAGAGGCTTCAGAAGCTAGATACACTGTTGTACATTTAGTTTTAGGACAAAAAATTTTTTACTATATATAAAACGAAAAACCAAATGAACGCAGGTGACGGAGCGAATTCCAATAAGAGGTAAAAACACGAATTTGGGAAAAAATTCTGAACAATAGAGTAGTCTAACTTCATCTAATCAAGAAGTATTTTCTCTGGGGTGATCTGAATCTTTTACGCTCAGTGACGTACCTAGTCAGTTACAACGACTACAATAACTAATTGGAATAATAAGAATTAAAGATAAAACGGAAGATTAAGCTCAAATCCGGCGTTAAGTTCTAATTTGAGTCATGCTTATTTATGTAGATAAAAAATTAAATATTTATATTACCGTTGTATATTGAGGATGAAGCGAAAAGAACCTCTTTATTCAAGCGAATTGGTCGATTTAGTGCAGCATTCGATTCTCCCATTCCCCGTAGATCGTCCATAAGCTCAAACATTGATGGGTAGTGAATAATAAGCTCATCAACATCCTACAGCAAAGACTAAGGTTCATATTGCAAACAATTTACCAGGGAGATAAGTGTATACCCACATTCTTTGAGCAATTCTCCAAATCTAGAGCTTTCAATGAAGGGGCTGACATGATTATAGAAACCACCAAGTCTCTCTAACTCTGCTAACTGAAGAGCAACTCGCAATTCAAAAAGCGTGTCTGTTGTGAAAATGACTCCAAGAAAGCAGCCGTCGGGTTTAAGGGAGCGCAAAACCTATGGCGTTTAGGACCGATGGAAGATAAAAATACCTGCTTTAGAGTTGAAGGAAGATCATTAACCCAGTGCAACCTAAATAACGATAAACAAGAAACTGACTTATATTCTTACGAGAGAGAAGAGAGAACTAAATTGAGTGAATTTTCCGAGAAAGGTAGAAATTCTTCGTCTACGTTTACTAGTTGTGTTTCAACATCAGGTGAGGGAGCAATTTGCCTCTAGAGGAAATAAAAATTTCAAAAAGATAAAGGTGCCTTACAAGAATCTCAGGCGAACGGTCACATTGGTATATAAATTTGATAGATTCACTAGTAAGATGTTGAATTAGGTGTCCCCTGCCACAACCCAGTTCAACAGCTTTATCAAAAACCCTATATATAAATACAATAGTCAAAAGTTCCATTTCAAATATTAAAATTGTAAATTAGAGGGATTCTACCTAGTGATGTCACAAACGCGATCGCTAAGTCGATAAGCAGCCTCGTTACGCAAATAATCATATAAGGTAGGATTTTCTCTTAAAGAAGCTCGCGCACACTGAAGTCTCTTAGCTTTACGATCGAAAACAGGAGCAGGTGCAGTAGAAAAGCGTGAAAACAAACAGGATTTATTTCTAATTAATACATCCGCTATGCAGCGTAACATGATCAATCCAGGCTAGTACACACACAACCTTGAAACACCAGCTGTTTGTGGTGATAACGTCATTACAAAATCAGTAAATAAACAAGATTCTTGATAAAATAGTATGCTTTTCACAACAGTTATCAAATATTATATTAAATCATTGATCGGAAAGTTGCAACATTGTTATAATTAGCCAAATGGTCAGCGCTCTTATTAAATGCTGGAGGCTGTGGATTTTCTCGTGCAATATCGTATATTATCTTTATTTACAGATTGTAGACGGAAATGCCTCCAAAGAAGCACTTTAAATATCAGAACTGTTCAGGCAAGCAAAAGGGGCGCTTTAGAAACAAACGTGGCGACTGGAGTAGAGGTGACCAAATAGAATATCCGCCTCCTCAGAAATTATGTACCAGTGGTTCTACTTCAACTGAAACTTCCTCAAGTTCTGAAGATACTGGTGATATTTCTATTCCAACAGCTATGTGGGATTTGGGACAGTGCGATCCCAAACGTTGCAGTGGACGGAAGTTAGTTAGACTGGGTGTTACGCGTTTACTTAAGATCCACGAACCATTTCATGGAATTGTCTTGACACCGACCGCAACACAGTATCTTAATCCATCAGTTGATCGTGAGATCACTTCTCGATGTGGTATAGCTGTTGTTGATTGCTCTTGGGCACAACTGGATAATACTCCATTTCAAAAAGTAGGGTACATATATGTTATATAATTAAAACTCTATTAGCTCAAGTATCATCATGGTCGATTGATTCCATATCTTCTTGCTGTCAATTCTGTGAATTATGGCCGTCCGTATAAACTCAATTGCGCAGAAGCCTTTGCTGCCTGTTTATTCATTCTAGGCTGGGAGAATGAGGCCCGGCATTTAATGTCTAAATTTTCCTACGGTCCATCATTCTTCGAGGTCAATAAGGAGATACTTGGTTTATATCAGTCATGCAAAGACGATGTTGAAATTATGGCTGTTCAAAATAAATATATCAGTGATTTGGAGCATCATAAAAATCGTAAACCTCAGAGCTATTCAGATATTTATGCTGATCTTGATGCGGAATTGATGACTGGTAGTGAGAACGCAGTGTAAGTCTATTTGTTCAACTCCACTTTACTACAGTCTTTTGTTCACAGATCGAATGACGAAGAAAAGGAATCAAAAGTGTGTAAGTTATTAAATTTCCCTATTACTCTTTCACCATTCAGTACCTTTTGAAATCAATTGATTAATAGCCATTGACCGATTCGATACTTCCTGATTCTTATTTACAGGTCGCTAATTGTTTTTTTCTAGCTCTATAGTATCGCATTCTTTGCTAATTATGTTGAAAATAATGTCCCAACTTGTATCACGGAGGAATTTTATTTTGTTTTTTTTCTCAGTTTAGGAATAAACTTCGTTTTAGTCCTTCTTGCTATCGGAAAATTATCAAAACTCTAAATTCAATCACAATGGCATGATGTGTTCAGTGATTTAGACTTGAGCTATAGTTGTAGGCTCCTTTTACCCCTGATCAGCATTTGGGGTCATGATTTTGTGATCCATTGACGTACATTCAGGGAAGTAACTGTGGGAAGATTCAAAAGTTGAGTAGGAAAATGCAGAATCTAGTAGTTAAATCTTTTCATTTCGTTGGATTTTTAATATCCAAAGGTAGAGCCAATGTAGATTTTAAAATTTATAAATTTCATTTGAACGCAATTTCTCAATTTTTTTCAATGTGCATTTGCTTATACTTTTCATTTATGCTCCTCTTGCTCAATACTATGACTCTGAGCACTTAGAGCGTTATGAAAATATTTACTATCTATAATCAATCCTCTCACAACCGCATCACAGCATAATTAAAATAGGAAAATAGGCTTCCTAAGCTCATTTATTAGAGGGTTTACGCTATTTGATCTGGCTCGAAGGAGGATATGCAGAATCTGCTTTAATTAAAAGCTCGCCAAGGTTTCATTAGTGTTAATGCAGTTGCGTTTACATCAATATTTTATAGTGGCGAAAATGTATTGAGGATTGGAGTAATAAAGCAATACCTCTTCCAGTGGAAATAAATATAGACGATTATATCACACTCAATTTGCGTTAATGCTGCATGCATTCATACACGTTCAGAATTTTTTATATGGGCCACTAAGTTAACTGTGTCCTTAAAATACCAAAGAGCGATAAGGGTGAGGAGGTAATTGGATGAATGCTAATATGACATGGGGCTTGTGTTTTGGAATAAATGTGACCGTACGTGGGTGATGCATGTGTCAATAAGATGAGGGAGTCATCATATTGGCCCAGTGAATCATAGGTATAATAATACGTGTGATTAAGTAGGTTAATGACTTAAATTACTACCTCTCATGATCTAATTGTCATCTTTTAATCTTTCCTTTAAGTAGGCGACAAAGAAATTTCGAGGGACAAGGAGTGTTCCAATGATTTCGCTGTCTCAGGTAATGACCGAGGTAGCTATGAAACTTTTCAATCGGAGTCTTTCGAAGACTTATTCATCTCCGAGGAAGCACAAGTTAATCTAGAGCGTCAATTAGCCACCCTTTGCACCGCATTTGAGCATAACAAACTTCAGAAGGAGGCCGGTCGAAATTGGGACCGCTTTTACAATCGTCACGGTGACAAATTCTTCAAAGTTAGTATGATTAAGATTTATCTATTAATTTAGAAACGCAACGCATAGATCTAGTTCGGGGCTTTCTATAAGGCTAACCAGATTAATAGTAGTAGTTCATTCACTACTCACCTCGGAGAACATTTTACTTATTCTAGTCTCTTTACTTGTTTCAGTCTATAGCCTATCTCCACTGCAGAATCAATGTGCAATGATTTTCTGCAATTATTTTTAGGATCGGCATTGGACTCAAAGAGAATTCAAAGACTTAGCCCAGATATCAGAGTGCGAGGACATTCAGGTAACCATTTTAGAAATCGGTTGCGGAGTGGGGAATTTCATCTTTCCCCTAATTGAGGACTTCAATAAAAGTCGGGAGAAACCTGGTGAGAATAATTTAAACTACCTATTGATTGTGAGCAGCCGCATTGATTTACTTAAACTAACCTCTACTTCAGTGATTTTCTACGCCTGTGATATTTCTCCTAAAGCGGTTGCCAAGGTGATGGAAAATTCGACATTCAGCAGGGACTTCAGCTCGGCGTTTGTGTGTGATGTTTCTCAGGAAGGAGCACTTGGAATAGCCCTGAAAAATGTCCCAAGACCCAACTTACTTGAACCTCTAAGAGATACAGATCCCTATGTCACCTTTCAAATCGCTACCATGATTTTTGTCCTTTCAGCTATTCATCCTGATCAGATGTCAACCTGTCTTAAAAATGCCTATGAGTGAGTTTATTCTCTCAGAAATTATGACTCTCTAATTACCGAGGATTTTGGTCTGAAATGTTTAATTGCAGTTCACTGCGACCAGGAGGAAAACTCATACTGCGAGACTATGGACTCTACGATCACAGTCAAATTCGTTTTGGTCGTGGTTCGCGTGTTCTGGCCGACCGACCGCTTTACCATCGACAAGATGGAACGTTTACCTACTTTTTCTCACTTGAAGAACTCACAACATTGTTGAGTGATGTCGGATTTTCCGTAGAGCTTTGTACCTATATTTACAGGCGTACAGAAAATCGTGCTGCTGGGCTTTCTGTTCGACGTGTATTTATCCAAGCGGTAGCTCAAAAACCTTTGTGAAATAACTATACTAATAAAAAAATATAACAAGTGTGGCAACCAAATTTTGTTTCCCAAGTAAAACCACAGCATCGACACTTAATGAGATAGACATAGAATAAAAACCCTAAAGCTATAAAGATTTCTTTTACCTAAGGTAAGGATAAATACAAGACACAGGAAGCATACTAGTTTGTCAATCGGATATGTGGGTGAAGAGTCTTTTTGACATTTTTCCGTGAAAGTCCAATGCGAAGACCGGAAGGGGGAGTAACATAAAACGTCGCTGAATTTTTGGCCATAGGAGTGGAAGGAGGATTGGGCGACTTTGTAGGAGCAATCGAAGATAACGATTTTGTACTAACTTCTTGCGCAGTGAATCTTTCTGAATTGGGAATAGGAGAGGCGTCGATTTTCGCAACAGCAACAATAGGCCGTTTTGAGAGTAGTTGGGTAGATTTAGATACTGTTTGGGGCGATTCCTTAGTAGATTTTTGATTTTTTGTGCTTGAGTTAGTAACTTTTTTGGCTTTCGGCTTCTTTGGGGGTGAGGATGGAGGAAAATCGTCAATGAACTCGTCTTCATCACTATTTGCTGTTTGCTTCCTCTTTAAAGGCTTCGTTTCAAATTTGTCATTGAAGAACTCATCATCGGATTCGTCACTCATGAGTTTGGCATAGCTTATATTAACCCGCTTGCGGACAGATTTCCTAGGCGAAGGCATAACACGTATCCTATTGGAGGTACATATACGGTTAAACGTGCCGGTCTAAGCACGGAGCTTAAATATATGCCCAAGCAAACAAAACAATAAGTTTCCTGATTTATTAAGTGGCAGTTAAGGGTGATCATATTTTTGTAATTATTTAAATTCTGTAGTTACATTAGTGCTAATTATAACTACGGAATATTTCTTTTTACCTACGAGTTTTTAAATTTTATTAAAATGTTCTTAAAGCATCTCATTATACCAAATAATGTTCAACTTTAAAATAAATAAGTGAACTTTGAAATAAAATTAAGTAGGGCTCAGAAGAATTCTCAGTGGGTAGCATTTAGGTACTTTTAACGTAAGATAACTATTCCATTTTAAACATTGGTTCGATTACTTGCTTAATATACATTCACAATAATTTGGATACATGTCTATGATTTAACTGAACCATTTTCGAATGCAGTATTTTATTTACCGTTCGTTAATCACACGTCCGTATCAAGTTAACTTCAACCATACTTTTTTGATGAATATGTACTCACTAATGCGACCAGATGAAATGATGATCGTCGAATGGGAAAGAAATATTAACTTTTAGGAAAGGCTTGATTTTCATTTTGGCATGAAGTGCTTCCTAATTCCGGAGGGATCACAGCAAGTTTTAAGAAGTGGCTAATTTACAGATATCAATTTTGGCTCCATATCTAATTCACGTAACAGGAAACAAATTACAATTTGACCTAAAATATAATTTCTTACAATGTTTCCTGTCTTAAAGCTCTATGCAATAAAAAAGTATACATAAGGAAACTATCAAATAAATACATTAAAAGTATTGCCACCGATCTTATCTATATTTCAATTGCGGATAAAATGAGTAAACGAAAAGTACATTTAACCACAATAAATATAAAATATGGATAAAATATCATTTCTTCTCCTTGCCTTCTTGATTCTTTATTTCATAATGGCCTTTGATTTCAGCAAGTATATTCTCGATCAGCTTCCAACCTCTTCCATACTATAAATGAATTATTAGATTAAGAGGTATTTTAACAAAAGTGATAGCGTACGTAAGTGGGGAATTCGTATTTGAATATATAGGCGTCACTCTTCCATTCCACTGCAATATTCATATAGCCGTTTATAGTCAAACCATTTCGAGTATATTTTATTGCGAATGGTGGAATGAATTCTCTAGTAGGGAGCTGTGTAAGGTATAAGAATTCGCAGGCTTACCTGCGTAGTTGATACTCAATCATATGGAGCAATGTATTTAAGGACTCCATGGATCTGAATTTATAAGTCCCACTGAAGCTATTCCTTGCACTAGATGACATATTATCCGAAATAAAACTGAAGGCACAGCGAATAAACTTCAACATTTAAATGTAAATACGGCTCAAGATTTAAATTTTAAATCGATGTGACGACAATTTTTCCCGATGATGAAAGTTCAATACTATCGTAACTTTATTGTTAAGAACACCTTTATGCGATTAACTGTTTTGCGTGTCTATAAATGGACCGATTTTAACTTTTCAGCAAGTTTTGGTGAATGATGCTAAGTTTAACTGAAATCCAAATCGAGTCTGCAGATAAACGTGAAGTAACTTAACAACATGAGTACAACATTTACATACAAGTCCAAATATGGACTATCAATGTTAGCTAATATGAGCAAATCGAACCCAATCGCCATTGGAGCGACTGAGTTGGGCTAAGATGGTAGAGTATTTTTTCCAAAATCTGAAAAACGGTATTTCGGAAGGAACCTGTGATATAATGGACGGTTATAACTGAAAGAGGGTGAGAGAGGGAGGGATTGGGGGGGGGGGCTATATAAATGGGAGCCGGATTACGAAAAGGAAGGGAGTGCTTTTAGAGAGTACTTCTGATTTCGCTATCTTTGATCTCTGACAATAAGAGTTAAAGTATAAATGAATGAGGGGCTGCGAATAGGGAGGCTTAGTTAATTATCTTATTGAAAATCATAATACAAATGAATTAAATCAATATAAAAACGAAAATCTTTTCATAATTGTAGATCTAATGACCAAAAGACTACAATAAAAAAGATAATATAATTTCCCCCCTCCCTCCCTCCCTCTAATCTTGTGCCTGCTATTGTTGCCAAAATTATTGTTCACTTAAACTTTTTTAATTACAATTATTGACGATCAACATTTTCTGTTGATAAAAGGTGTAGCGGATTGCTACGCTAGTAAAGCCTGACTAACTCAGAAATCTCTGGCAGATTCGCCAACATCTATCTAGACTTCCAGAACCAGCTAAGCTATAGCCCAGCTATGAAAGGAAACAGACATGTAGCACGGAGCACGTTTATTCAGGACGTATATTGTGGATAAAGTGTTCACGCAGGGAGATACTCATGATCAGGATGGGGGATTAGGTTAAACAGGTTGATGATTGGTCACTGTTTGTACGATCGCTGCACACAGAGTTGTATGGCCGCACCTTCCAATCTTGGCATGCGGGCATGCGATGACACACAAAGCGATAACGTGTCCCACAAAGGAGAGTTAATATTTAATATGAAATATAATGAACCTCGCTACAAAATTCGATGTTTCCTATGTATCGATTAACAGAAAATTCTTTTTATTTACGCATTGAAGCATATTCAAATGCGAGCTTTGGACTTAAAATGAAATACCAAGTAAAAAATCTGAAATAAAGCATTACTATACTAACAGTTTTACTCTCTATTTAAAAATAACCTTTCCTTGCCAGATAAAGATTTATTTAGACAGCCAAAGTGAAAGTATGTGGACTCCGAATTCGAATGTAGGGGAAATCATCTTATGCTAGCACTTGAAATGGACATAAGACAAATGTGGAATCCAAGTCTTTGACCTGGATGGTCGTCAAGCACTGAAAGCACATCAGCTATCAAAGTGGGCCTACTTTTCAATGTTAGTTAACTAGGGATTTGAGATGCCTTATTTGAGCAAATCAAAGATAATCTTCAGTGGAGTTAACTCACGTCCATAAGAAGACTACGTTTCCATTTTTATAAACTACACATTTATTTATAACAAATGGCAGGCATTTTGATAGTTTCATTAGCCCTTTAGGTGACCTCAGGCCTCACAGAAAGGAAGAAATATCAATGTGGAAAAAAATTTCGAGAGGGGGGGGGAGAACAGAAGAGTGTTTTAATGATGTAAAAGAGAGACACAAAGGTAGAAAAAGGTAGGAAGAGTACTGTGGAAGTAGTATGAATTAAACATAGAGTTAAAGAGGTCTGCAGAGATGGTCCAAAATGGAGTTATGGCGCGTGCAAAAGCGTCTCTGGCACGTTAAATCCATATAATGTATTGCATAGCTTTCAGGAAGAGTTATGTTGCTATGTAAACCGGCATTATTATTATAATTATTACTATAAAAATAGCACTATTGACGGATTGGACGGTGGTGTCATTGAATCTCAGATTCTGGAACTTTAAAGTCTGAATGGTCTCATCTCTAATTACCTTAATTAATTTTATTGGTTATCTACCTCAAATAGTAAAATTTATAAAAGAATTATCAATGTTGTTGGACCTTAATAAATACTTACAAGAGGATTCAAACAATTTCATGCGCAATACTAGTTTCTATCACTAATAATTTTTCGAAGATATAATATATGCCAAAGTAGGGGTGCGCAATAGACTTACCTCCACGTGGTGCATCCTGGGCAACGTATACTCATACGACAAAAAAGTCTGTTAACTGGCCGTTGACTTCTCACTTCAAACTACCATCACCCCACTGCACGTCATATTCGACCACTTCCACAATACTCACCTCACCTTTTCTCTACCTTTGTGTCTGTTTCTTTTACCTCTATGGATCACTCTTCTGTTCACCTTCTCAACCTTTTTGTCACTTTGATGTTCCTTCTCTCTGTGAAGCCCGAAGTCAGCTAAGGGGCTAATGATAGCTACCAAACCACCTGTCATTTGAAATAAATCGATAAATATATGCCAAAGTACAAGTTAACGTTGTTCCAGAACACTCGCATAAGTAACAAGGTTCAACTTGAAATTCCAGGCCATTTTAATGCTTCATCCGATTGAGGTTAAGATCGTATGCGTGGTTATTCACAAATATGATTTTGTGACGATGCATTAATTAAAAGGTTGCTAGAGAAATTGTCAATTTTGCTGACCAGAAAAGTATCAGTTTAAGTGTGCAATTGACATTGGCATAGAAATGAATACTTTTGGGTGATTAAAATTGTACAATTTGAGGTATAATGCAGTGAGGAACGATGTACATGTATATTTTAAATGGATGAGTTTAAATACTGAAGATTTAAAAAGATTCTGCAAAGGAAGAGATAAACAGAACTGATTCCATTAATACTCATGTTGAAATGTAGAACATGTATATAACACGTGAATTAAAAGTTATTTCCACCAATCATTTACAGAGTTAATTTTAATAATAATACTGATGGCTATCTAAATTTACTCTATGATCTCAATCCATTTATTTTATCATTAATGAAAAATTGAGAATGAAATTAACACCACAATTTTACAAGCATCATTTGATAATATTCGGTAATAAATTCAAATTTGACACAGATGTGTAATGGCAATTGACATATTTCAATTTTCGAGAAAGTTGAGTATTTATGTTAATTGTACAATTGAAAAGAAGAAATTAAATCGATTACAGTTCGGAGAATGATAGGATATAATTTCAGATATAAGGAGCGCTTATATATGGCTTTGTTATTTACGTGTGGTATTTTCCAAGTAACGCGATTGAAAATGGTTATTACATACTATAAATAGAATAGCAACTGCAGATAAATTACAACAGAACTAAGACAAATTAGGATCAAAATTCCCATACTCATGCCGCCATCTTTATTTGCTTCCGACTGAACTGAAGTAAAAGGCACAAAAAAGTCACAAATGAAATTAATAAATGAAGAAAAGTAATCATATATTTTGAAGAAAAAAAAACCCTGAAAGTCAGACGATTAGACC